TAAGAAAACCGTTATATAGTAAGGTTTTTATATAGTAAAAATTTGGTTTCTGATTTACAGTGCGTTATAAAATGGGGGCCATTATAGAGGGGGCCGTTGTAGAGAGGGTGAACTGTATTACTAATGTTGATATAGTAAGTAAGTAATGACGCACGGGAAGGACAGTCACGTGACCAAATACCACACGTATCTCAATTATGATTGGGGTAATGGATCCGTGGCGCTAAAAAAATGTTAATCGTACCAAATATATTCAGAATAATATGGCGTTAAAAGGCGATCACATGATTTGTATTAAAGGGCAATAAAAACAAACTTTTGCTGTAATCAAACCATTGTGTTTGTATTCTTTATTATCATTTGCTTGCTGAATTGTTTACTATTATTATGTTTATGTAAGTCAACTCAAATGTCAGAGAGTTATTAAAATCAAATAATAGTCTTGTTACATTGTAATGTTATATTAATATTTGTTAACCAGCCGAAGAAGGTTTAGACACCTTATATTTTTGTCCAGCACATGAAAAAGAGTGCTTCAATAGACATGTTATGTCACAAAATATTAACTCTGATCAATGAATAAAAAATCACATGCACATTCTGAAACAAATGCCAAACTTTTCAATATATCCTGCAATAACTATAAGTAAACGTTATTATGTACATTGTGAGATAGTAAATTTTGAACCTATCAATTACCCGGTTAATATTGACCAATTAGAACGAAATTACTACGGAAGTCATGTGATGCGCTAAATATTATTATTGTAACGGCTACGCCGCATATTGCGCAGTGTCATATGAAAGATTATTCCTATTCATATTTCTATATTTATATTTATTAACCTACTCATCTGATGTAAATACAGTGTGTTACAAAAAAAATTGGAAATTTTTTGATGTAAAAAAAATTTAATAACTTTACCAAAAACGGTCAGATCCGCATCAAATAAAATTCAAAACAAAGTCTTTCTTTATTAATTTAGTCTGTTTATCTTTTAACCAAATTGAATAAAAATTTTTTGTGTAATTTGCTAATAAAATGACACAATCTACAAAAGAACAGTAACATACAACCTTATTATATTATTGGAATCATGGGATATGTTCTGCTTGTCAATTACATAATATTACGAACATCCCAATCTCAACTATTTATTTTAATATTGAAAAGTTGAAAAAAAATGGTAATGTGGAACATAAAGGGGGTAATGGTAGAAAAAAGAAAATTACTGTGGAAGCATTGTGTGCAATCGGACAATATATTCATAGAGATTCTTCTATTTCTTTGAGGTCTTTGGCTAATAAAATGTTAAATAAAGGAATAGAGGTCTCATATGTGACAGTTTTAAGGCATTTGGAAGGGATCGGATTAGTGATGGGCGGGTTTATAACAACCTAGTTTATACCCTGTTATATACCCGTTATATACCATGTTATATACCATTAC